TTCCCTTCTCAAACTATTCATTGATATTACCGGAACTGTCACCTACGACTACTTCTGTTCTTGTATCCACGGGCCATTAAAATAACGAAATAACTAATAAAAATTCCCTGTCAACAAAAGCATTATGGCGTGTTGTTCTTGCCGCATTTTCCATCATTTCTCCTTTCTATTCACATGAGAGAAGCAACGATTCTTCTCAATATCACAAATTGCTACAAAGGGATTTAACACCAACGTTTATAAACTTATCAAGTATTGTGACCTATAATATAAGGGTAAAACCTGACTTAAAGTACCATAACTGACGAGAAAGATAACGAACTTATTGCTTTCCCCGAATTTTATTGTTAACATTTAAACAAACAAACCCTTTATAAATTAATATTATAAATTACCATTTGTTATAACACTAAATTTTGATATATTGATATGCCTTTCAATATATTTCTGTGACGAATGTGCATCTTTGAAATCAGAACCAGAGCACCTTTTTAAATGTCAAATAGAGAATGATCTCGACATATATATATATATATATGTGTATTTACATATACATTACATATATACATATATATGTATATATATACATTTATATGTATATATGTATTATATATTATATGTATATATATATATATATATATATTATATATATATATATATATATATATGAGTATATATATAACATATATATGAGTTATATATACATATATATATATTATATACATATATAGTATATATATATATATGCATATATATGTGTATATATACATATGTATATATGTATACACACACACACAACACACACACACACACACACACACACACATATATATATATATATATATATATATATATATATATATATATATATATAGATATATAGATATATAGATATATGTGTATGTATATATGTGTTTTGAGTGTGTGTGTATGTGTATGTGTATCTACATCTGTCAAGAAAAAGATGCTAGAAAAGGATTATTTGTTTGGAGTTCAGTTTATATATATATATATATATATATATATATATATATATATATATATATATATATATATATAATACTCAGTGCACACACACATACATTTAACGGTTTCGTATAAATGGTATTTACTAGGACATTCCGTTTTGACGGCACATAAGACACACATCCCCCTTCCCATCTGCTAAAATTGCTGTACGTTTAACTGTGTGATGCGTCATATATTCTGTCAAATGTGGAATGCCAACCAAGTCCAGAATAAATCACTAACGCAATGTAGATGGCTCGGGCTTGCATCCCAAATCCCCAGTTCGACCAGAATTTTCTTCTCCTGAAAAACAGCTGTGTTGGCTTCGGATGTGGGCTTAGGATGCAAGCTCTTCCATGCGGTACGTAATGTGACTGCTGATGTGTCTGCGAATCTGTGATTGTTAGAAATTACTTCTCTTATTCAACTTTTCTAATGCCTCTAGACTTCCAGGGCAATATATATATAGTTTTCAATAAAAAGTTCAGTGCATATATTAGGACACACGCAACATAAACAAAAGAGTATGCGGAATTAATGACTTACTGAGAACTGACATTTTCCTTAGGGATCCCCTCCGATACAACCAGAAGTCTGGTCACTGCTCGCAGGTCCCCTGGAAGCTGATGATCCGCAGGTATTGGAGGTCCTTAAAAAACACTACCTCGACCCTCCCTCACTCCTGCCGTACAATTTCACCCGAGGACTCCCAGAGAAAGGGTTCCGCGGCTTCACCTGGCCCTGGATCCACGGCTGGTTGCAGAAGCTGTTCGCGGACCAGAGGGGCGGCTTCTTCGTCGAGGCCGGAGCCCTTGACGGGGAGTACCTGTCCAACACCTTGTGGCTGGAGCGCGACCTTGGCTGGTCAGGCCTGCTCGTGGAAGCCGCCGACACCAGCTTCAAGGAGCTAAGGCACAAGCACAGGAAATCTTGGGCTTCGAACACGTGCCTGTCACCTGCGCCATACCCCAAGCGCATCACTTTCGTAAACCACTTCCTGACCAATACTCAGCTGAACGTGAATGACTTCTCCAGGTGGGCTTACCGCGGCCACAGCCATGAGTTTCGGCAAGACATCCCGCAGGCTGACTTCGGGGCGCACGACCACGCCAGCTACTCCGTGGTGCAATGCTTCCCCCTCCTTTCGTACCTCAAGGCGCTCAACGTGACCCAGGTTGACCTGCTGAGCCTCGACACGCAGGGCTCCGAGGCGGACATCGTGAGGTCATTCCTAGGCTCTGACGGAATCAAGGTCAGGGTCATAGTGGCTGAAAATGAGTTTGGGAAATTTGATAAGAAGATGATGAATGAGATGAGAGAGAATGGTTATCTGCTTCTGGCTAGTCTTACTGACCTAGTGTTTGTAAGAAAGGATGACCCTGTGTGGCAGCAGGAGTCCCTTGTGAGGATACTGCAAGATGACACTGGTCAAATAAATGGATATAAAATGTCTTTTGAGGACTTCAACGAAAGCCGGCGAAGAGATATATGAAACCGCTAAATGCATGTGCGTGTATACATGTGAGTGTGTGTGTGTGTGTGTGTGTGTGTGTGTGCGTGGGTGCAGGTATGAGTGCGTGGGCGCGCTCTGCAAAACACCTATTATTCATACTGACTTTTTACTTCACAGACATCTAAATGCACTCAGAGAAACAATTGCTTATTCCTCTAAAGCCAAAAGAGTTATGCCTCTCTTTCATATATATCTTTTGCTTGTAACGCAATTTGCCTCAAGATCCGCCCACGCATTATCTTCCTATCCCGACACTCTTTGCGCTGTCTGCCGTCCCTATCCTTTCTCACCTGCAGGATAGATCGGCCTCTCCTTCCCGCCGCCTGTCCTCTCCAGAAGGCTGAAGTCCCGTTGCTATTTTCTCTTTTCGCTCACAGGTAATATGCATTTACCGTCATTGCTAATATAAAGGTTCTCACGTCATAATTTAGCTTTGGTTATTGATTAATTTTTCATTTATTCTGAATACAAAAATTATTATATTGTGTATGTTATATCACTCATTTATATTGTTTCCTAAAAAAATACTTGAATAAATTAATTCCAGGGGCATCTTCACGAATCCGAAATCCAGCAATTATTATCTTATTATGATTATTTTTATGATCATCATTATCATTATCGTTATTATTATCATTATCATTATAATTCTCATAAGGTATTATGTTCATCGTTATTATTATTATTGTTAATAGAAAGATTACAAGGATTATTGTCTTTTACATCTTGATTTTAGTGTTATAATGTTCAATAATGTTTAATGTTTTTGTAACTAAATATAGAAATACAATTAACGGTTGTTTTTCTTAGCATTACAAGGTGCAGAGCAAAGCAAATTATACTTATCATAAAATATATAAAAGCTTTTTTTATGATCCACAATCGGCTAATAATACATCCTTCAGTATTTTTCAGCGAGGACAAGAAAACTGTTCATGAATTGATAGCAGACATTTTGTAAGCAGTATTATCATTAGTTAATATCGGAGAGGAACCGTTCATACATACATACATACATACATACATACATACACACACACACACACACACACACACACACACACACACACACATATATATATATATATATATATATATATATATATACACACAAACACACACACACACACACACACACACACAACACACACACACACATATATATATATATTATATATACATATACACACACACACACACACACACACACACACACACACACACACACACACACACATATATATATATATATATATATATATATACATATATACATACACACACACACACACACACACACACACACACACATATATATATATATATATATATATATATATATATATATATATACATATAATATACATACATACATATACATATATAAATATGCACATATCTATATATAAATATAAATATCTCTCTGACGGAGCACACAAGCCAGGATCAACTAACTAAGCATACACAAATCTGTAAACAAATCTGTTTACCCCCAAATTTACCCTCCCAACTCGTCCACTTTAGCGACGCCGTTTCTCGTGTCACCCAAACTGCCGCACAGCCGTAACTAGTGGACGGTTGAACGAGTGGTTTGGGTTGTTGCGCTGGGGAAAGACCGGAACAACGGCTCGTTCGGAAAGTGGAGAGGGAGGTAGAACGGCGATGAGTTGTGTTGATCTCAATTTTTATTATTATTATTGTTATTTTTTACTATTATATTATTATTTATTATTATTATTTTATTATTATTATTATTATTATTATTATTATTATCATTATTATTATTATTATTATTATTATATTTCATTATTACTATTATATCATTATTACTATCATTATTATTACTATTATTTATTATTATTATCATTATCATATTATCATTATTATTATTACTATTATTATAATTATAATTATAATTATAATATAATTATAATTATAATTATAATTATAATTATAATTATTAATTATTATTATTATCATTATTATTAATATCTTTATTATCATCATTATCATTCATTATTATTATTATTTTTAGATTTGTCAAAGAACGTCTCGGGAAACAGAAAATGGAATTAGGAGCGTAAGATCTTTGCAGACGAAGCCAGTGTCTGGAGAATCGGACAAGTCAGCGAACAAGTCGAGTGAACCGCTACTTTTGATCCAGAATAAACACAGGATTCGAAGACAGTTGTTCATTTGTTCATAAAGGGAAACCGCGAAGTATAGATGAAGAGATATGGAAACAAAATAAAACATGGATAGGAAAACAACTAAAAAAACAAACAAAACAAAAACAGATGAAGAAAATAAAACATAGGAAAACAACTAAAAAAAAAACAGGCTAATAGATGAAGAAAATAAAACATAGGAAAACAACTGAAAAAAAACAGGCTAACAGGCTTTAAAGCTCAGTGGACAAGCCTATGTAAACAACAGCGCCAGGGAACACAGCCATAAACAGTGAGGTTGCGTGATCTATCAAGTGGAACGAAGAGGCGTTTGTTCACACAGAGAAAAACACGTCGAATGCAAGTTGTTTTTTTCTCAAGCGGGTGGGGAGAGGGAGACGGGAAACCTTCTACGGACACAAGTGGGGTTACGTTCTATTTTTAACGGAGACAGGCTGGTCTCACACGTACACAGACAAACACACACACGACACATAAACACATATTATATATTATAATATATATATATATATATATATATACATATATATATATACATATATATATATATATATATATATATATATAATATATACATATTCATATATGTAATATATATATAGTTAATATATGTATACATATATACATATATGTATATACATATATCTATATCTATATTATGATATATATGATATATATGATATATTATATATATATAAATATATATATATAATATATATATATATATATATATATTATATATTAGAATCTGAGAGATTTTTCTTGTTTCCATTTTTCGTTTCTTTCTCTTCTTCATTTCCTCGTTCTTTTTCGCTTTGCTTTCCTCATACATTTATATTTCATCGTCTTTATCCATTACTCAGCATTTTCTGCTTCTCCCATTCTTATATTTTCACCTTTTTTTACTTCTTCTATTTTTCACATTTTCCTTATTCTTCTTTTATCCTTGTTCTATTTTCCCTTCTCCTCTCCTCCCCCTTCTTCGTGTTGTTTTTTCCTCCTTTTGCACCTAATTTGGAAGATTGTTCAGATGATAATGAACATTGTTGATGATATAGTTCTCACTTTCACATGATTTGCTGCTTCACTTGGAAATGATAACAACGACAATAAATTTGATAATAATGAGAGTAATGAAGATGATAACAATGGTTTTACCTTAAGGGTGGGCGTAAAGGTTACCTAGGAGACTATGAGGTAGAATTGGGAGAAATATACAACACGTACTCCTACAACTCCTTGCAAGATGGAGCATATTACCGATCTTAGAGTCAAGTCATTGCATAACACAGATGGCCGTGACCCCGTTATAGAAGCCCACATGTCAGGTGTGAGTTCCACGCTGACGTGATTGCGTGGAGGGTTCTTTGCGAGGCAGCTGTCCCCGCCGCTGCATGGGACAGAAACTCTCATCTCGTATGTAGTTATTCATCTTTATGCTCTAACCCGCACTTTCCTGGTAAACCACACGCCTGTTAGCGGGGTCGAAATTGTGGGGTAAGGGAGGTTTCCGTTGCAGTAAATGTGATGATGATGATAATAACCGCAACAACAATAACAACACACACAACAACAACAACAATAATAATAATAATAATAATAATAATAATAATAATAATAATAATAATAATAATAATAATAATAATAATAATAATAATAATAATAATAATAATAATAATAATAATAATAATAAACAACAACAACAACAATAATAATATTATATAATAATAATACAACAACAATAATAATAATAATAATAATAATAAATGATGATAAAAAAAATATATAATGCTTATGATGATAATGATATTGACAATGGTGATAATGATGCTGACAATGGTGATAAAGATACTGACAATGGTGATAATAATAATAATAATGACAATAAATAAAAGTAGTAGTAGTGTTCTCTGCTGAAGTAACATTCCATTCTCGGGGGATTACGAATGGAAATGAATCTTCGGTGACGCTAAGTTAGTAGTAGTATTATTCAGCCTATGATAGTAAATTGAAATCCTATTTACGGAAATGAATGGCACAGTATGGATCGGCAGTCTCAGCGGCGCAGCGCGGTTGAGAACGAGAGAATCTATTATCTCTGTTTTCGTAATCGGCTTCCTTTTGTCCTCAAAAATCCGCCTATCATTTTTTCTTGTTGAGGCCTTTTTGCTGTTTTTTTTTTATCTAACTTTCCCTTTCTCCCTTTCCTCCTCCCCCTCTTCCCCCTGTTTCCCAGACGCTGAGTTCGACTCCTGAGCAAGGGTCTGGGTATGAAAAGAAGAGCACCTTCTCGTGGTAGCGTCTCCAGCTGTCAAGAGTCCTCTGACAGAAGGCACCGTCTGAAGGCCGTGTCACACTAGCACTTTTTCCGTCAATTTTTTGACAATCTTATTTAACATAAATACAATCATTCTCGAATATAGGCTCTTGATTTGACTTTGCTTGGCTGAAAAAGTTGACGGAAAGGTTTTCAGACGGAAACGATCATTATCGTCTGACTGGAAAATCGACAATTCGCTCAAAAATGGAGAAAATTTCAGAAAACTGTCAAAAAACTGACGGAAAAAGTGCTAGTGTGACAGTGCCGGATTAATAAAACCGGATTAATATGATACTGCAATCATGGTTTCTATGGGTCTTGCAAGATGTTAGCACCTAAGACCTTGTGAAAACGTAAATTTCCTTAAACATCGACCTTACAGAATACAGAGGAAATTACCAGGAAAGTCAATCGAAAATTCATATGTGCTTCTACAAAATTTCGAAAAAAAAAAGAAACGAAGAAAGCCT